GAAGCAATCAAATCAGTGTGGATCCATGAAATTACACCAGACTGTTGTACACAACTTGTTAACATGCCAAAACGTATCCAAATGGTAGTTGACAATAACTATGCTTCCATTAAATATTGAACTTTTATCATGTATGTGCATATACCTATCATCTTTAAAATTGTTATAAACACTTATTTCATTGAAAAAAATAAAAAAATTTATTAATAAATTGTTTTTCACACAAATATATTGATTTCATAACATAAAATATGATGTTCCAGGACTTTTGGTCACCACTGTATATATATATATATATATATATATATATATATATATATATATATATATATATATATATATATATATATATATATATATATATATATATATATATATATATATAAATATATATGTATATATATATATATATATGTATGTATGTATATATGTATATGTGTATGTATGTATGTATGTACATGTGTGTATGTGTGTATGCATATATGTATATATATATTTATATATATATGTATATATATATATATATATATATGTATATATATATGTATATATATATATACATATATATATATATATATATATAAATATATATATATATATATATATATATATATATATATATATATATATATATAAATATATATATATATATATATATATATATATATATATATATATATATATATATATATATATATATATGTATATATATATATATATATATATATATATATATATATATATATATATATATATATATATATATATCCTTCTTGTATATTTATATATATATTCATTTAGTTTGTCTATTTTAATTTTGTTTAAAAAAAAATATGAATAGATGAATTTTGATCTATAAAATGTGCGGAATCTTTTTCAATTCAAAATATGTTTTGTTTATTTAAATATATATTATGAAGTTTATTGTACATACGCCTATGTACGGATTTGTAAATTATTTTTTCAAACTTTTTTATTTTTTAGTTTCAAACTTTTTAGTTTTGTCAAACTTAAAAATTATTTTTAAAACTTTTTGATTTTTCAAACTTTTTTTAATTTCACTCTTTTATATATTATTGGAAATTGTAAAATTTTATTTTATTTTTTCTATTTTCACGAAGGGGCTTGATGATAAGACATTTTGTCTTCTACTTGCCCCAGTCAGCTTGCAATTGTATAAAATTATTTGAATGGAAGGTTATCATTGTAAAATGTTTCAAATGACGAAAAAATAAATTAAAAAAAAACAAAAAAAACATATTATGCATTCTGAAGTTTTTTAAAGTTTAGCAAAGAGACTGGAATTGTCTTAAACCCCCTCCTCCTTCTTTAAAAAACAAACAAACTTTTTCCTCTTTTTTTTTTTAAAATTTTTATTTTTAGGTGTCCCAAGAAGACGGAAGTGCTTTTAACCAGCAAGTTCACGCCTCCTTCCTAACCCTAACACAGAGAATGCCATAGTTGCAAAAACAATTTTAAAATTAATAAAAACAACTTATAATTTTAACAAGCTTGAAAATAAAACAACTTAGTAACAAATGCAGTAATAATAACCAAATAATTTAAAATTACTAATAAAAATTGGTATTAACTAAATAAAAAATCATTCTGTATGAAAGCAAGAGAGAACAAATTTTAAACATTTTACAATATAGTTTTTTTTAGCATTGGTCACTTAAACAAAGTCTTTTATTGATTTCATCACAGGCTTTGTTTCTTGATTTCGCAATTGAGCTTTTTTTTTTTTTTTTTTTAACACATCTTTACTTTCAAGGCTGCAAGCAACCACTATTAGAGTTGGAAGTTACTGGAAGAGAAAAGATGAAATTTATAGACCAAGATAATGGTTACCAGACGACTTAAAAGATTGCAAATTATATCAATAAGGAAAGCAAGATAAAGCAAGAGTTCGTTATTTTATTGTTTGTGGAACTTTAAAGGGTTTCACATCAGTAGAGCCATCTTCACTTCCGGCTTTGACTGCCAATATTATCTTGACTGCAAATGACCTTTGTTCTGAGTTATCAGAACAGAGAAGTGCAATAAGTATATTCTTAAGATGAGCCCACCAGAATTCACTTTTTAGATAAAGTTTAGAGGCTTCTTTAACCCTATCATCTTGCTTCTTCCAAAGTCGAAATAGCTTTAAAAGATTACTAGAATCGTATCTAATGCCATGATTTACTGTAATCTCAAAAAAATATTGATAAACCTGTGTCACCCAAATTGCAAAGAGCTTAAGATCTCTGTATTCTTAGGTTTAAAATCATGCTTGCTCATATATAAAAGCAAGCATCTCAAGTAATTCCAATTCCACAAGTAAGCCATTGACTGTGAGACAATATACCACATTTAAGAGCTACTACTTTAGGATCAAGGTTTTTTTAAAATATTGTATTCAAATACTTCCATGCAACTAAACTCTCAGTGGTCATTTTCTTAACAAAATCATCACTGATTTGAAGGCTGCAGAAGAGGAATTAGCGTAAATTTAGTAATTCTTTTAAAATTATCAACTTTAAAAAAAAGTATACCAACTGTTCTACGCCATTCTTTTTCTAAAGAAGTCAGCCCGTCAAGTTTTTCCACAATATGACGGAAAGGTAGCTTACTAATGTGAAGCAAGCAAAAATAAATAAAAAGTTTTCGATAAAGAAGTTCCTTCACAAAATAAAGCATTCCACCTTTCAATCCAGACATTTCATTTGTAGTATCACTACCAATTAGTTGGAGAATAAAATCTTTACCTCTTTCCATTAACCAGTTGAATAATTCAATAGCACATGATTTGACTGGTTTACATATTTCAGATTTAGGCGTATGAGTACGATAGCGACCTCTAAGCTTGTCTATCACAGTTATATGGTTTTCTTGAAAATTTTTTTTTCTGAAAGTACCTGTGGTTTTATCATGCATAAGGATTAAAGTTTTTTCTTTTCAACCATCAACAAAAATTCCAGTGATTATATTTCCTTCACTGTCTATATTTTCTTCTATTCATAGGGCACAGTTTTGAACAAAAAACTTTCATGCAATCACAAATAAGATTATTTTTATCTTCAACAAGTTTCCTCGCCATCATAATATCTTCCAGAAGACCGTTAATGATAGCAGGATTAGAAGGCACACCAAATCTGAAAGAGACAATGGCAACATTACTAATATCAAGGTAATTTCGTTTAAGATAATTTTCTAGTTTTTCTGCTGTTGAGTCTTCTTCGACTTTATCGCAATCACTGACCATATCAACATTGGTCAGTGACATCGATGACATCGATGACTTCTACTCGCTGACTTCTCGTTGTCGATTGAGCCTAGCTTGATTGATTGACTTACGAAAGTTTTTAAACATTAGCTTGGCAGTTTCTTTAACATCCAGGCTAAGTTCTTGCATAGGTGAAACGCTGCCTCGCTTGTCTTGCTGGTTTTTAATGCAAACAAGGCAATGAGCACTATAATCACAGGGTTCGTTGCAGGGGGCATTATTTTCACTGTAGCAAACAATTCTGCATTCGCAAAAAGAAATTTCTAAAATTTTATTAAGTTTACGTTCTCAGTGTTTCTTATTGGCCTTTTGGGCATTGTGTCGAGCTATCTTAAAGAACGCTGAAGCACCTCTGCTGAGTTTTAGTTCTATAGCTTTAGTACCACAAACTAATAGCTCTTTAAACTCTGTGTTAGAAGTAAACTATCGTTTTGCAATTTTATGGGTAACATTTAAAAATTTCTTGCATAGATAAATTAAGTGGATTTTTTTCATAAACTAGTATTTTTTTTTTTTGCTGATCAAGAACAAACAACAAAGTAATGTTGGAAATTCAATTTGGAGAAACTTTCAAGGACCTCCTAGATATTCGCACAGCTTAGTGTTGATGGATTTTATGGTTTTCTTACTATCTAATAATGCCATTTTTCTATTTTAAATATATTAAAATCTGAAAAATGAAATAGTAGGAACTTAATTTGAAAATAATTCTATAAAAGCTATCATCATATTTATAAGGTTTGAATATTAACTAGCATTTATACACAAAATAATATTTTAAAAAACAAAAAACATTCTACTATAATTAAGCATAGGATTAATCAATATTATAAATAGCCATTATGTACATAATAATTTGTACATTATGTACATTTGAACATAAATAGTCAGCAATTAGGGAAAAAACACAATATTTTCAGAAAAAAAAAAGGTTTTCCCGGTAGCAAGAGCTGTTTTTTTCACCAAAAAAGGTTTTATAAGGCTTTTTTGGTGAAAGGCTAAGGCTTTATATATACATAAGTGATGTACTGAATCAAAACTAGAACATGCATGAGTACGATATACCTTAATATACAAACACATTTGTAATTGCTTTTCTAAATCTAATATTATATATGCAAACATTAGGGCCCTGCGAAACTTCGAATCGAATCGAAAAGATGATTCGAGATGCGATTCGAAAATTTTCAAAAATCGAATCCTTACTTAATTTGATTTTATTGTGGGTATTTTAGATATTCTGCGCTTTGGCACTATCGAAATAACGTCACTTATCCTTAAATACCTTTTTAATCAGTCATTTAAAAGGTTAACCAGGGCAAGAAGTATCAATAAAGAGATTATACAATTTTTTTATTTTATTTTGAAATATGTATTATTAAATAAAAAATGCTTGAATTCTTCTTTTCGATTTCAAATTCGACTTCAAAAATTTCAAAATGTCGATTCGAAACGTGATTCGAATCGCGAATCAAGACCTGCTTTGATTCGAGATTCGATTCGAAACAAAAACTGCCGATTCACAGGGCCCTAGCATACACATCCTTTATATAGTGTATACCATACGCCATATGCTTCTACCCTCTTGTAACCATTGTTTTTCTGAAAATGTTAATAAATAATAACCCCATAAATGCTTTTTGATATATCTCGACTTTTTAAAATGCATTCTGCCATTTTTCTTGAGATTTTTTCAAACAATATAATAAAAACAGTAAAAAAAAAACAACAACACTTTTAGTTAAATATTTTCCTAATTCTGAGTCATGGTGAGCATACAATAATATTGATGCGTATAAACATATAAGTTACTGAAAATATTATGTACATAAATATACGTGATTGACAAAATATTTCGCTTTTGTTTCTTGAAATAAAAAAAAAATTGTTAAACAAAATTAAAAAGTTAGAATATATATAAAGTTTTGAGTTTTAAATGTCACATCAAGTGTGACGTCACTCAAACATTTGAAATCCACTTTGGACTAAAATCAATTTTAAAAACACGAAACTCCATTTTAGGAAACATGTAAGCCACGTGCTATCGTCTTTTTCATCACCAAAATAAATAATTTTTTAAAGTTAATATCAGAATAGGAAGATCCCGACGTACAACGAATTTCAATAAAACCACTAGGCTTTTATCTTCCAGAGCTAAAATAATGCAAACAGCATTTGGAAAATTTCATAACTATTACCACATCAAATCTTTGTACTTGTCAACTTTCTTTTTATTTTCAAATTTTATACTTTTGAATAATATAAATAACTGATAGTTCTTAAAAACTTAACTGATTTTGTTATTTTAATGAAAAAAAAAAATCAATCTTACCCGTAATCTGAAACCTAGTATGTCTGACATAACACCAGAAAATAGTGAAAGTACCATGACACGTGTAATATTTGAAAGTAATGGGTTCATGATGAAACCGGAGACTTTGAATGGCCCCTCAAGTTCCTAAATAAAAATATTTTTAACACAAAATTATCTACAAAATATTTTATGTAAGTCTTTAGACGTCGAGTAAAATTGAATGCTTGAATAAAAAATGAATAGATTGCGTAGTAGTAACATTTACGCAAATAAACGACCGGGTTTTGACAAAATAAAGCCGAAGTAACACTAATAATAATACATCCTATATCCTATATGTATTTGTTATTCACGTTATAATGTATATACATGTTACATACTGCTGAACCCAGTCACTTTTTAATTTATGCCTGCATTAACACAACTCAAGCATTGTTTGATGTAATAGAGCATGAATAAATTAAAAATTTGCAATACTTTAGCGCACCAATAACTAAAATTAACATTTTTAAAAACTTTAATTACATCTTAACTTGCAATAAGCATTCAATATATTAAGTTGAACTCAAAATACCAAGTAAATTTTAACGCATTTACATTATTACAAACATCAACAAATTTAGTGCATCCAACTTATCAAGAAACCTAATAAAGAAAAGTATATACATAGCACATTTAATTTAAAAAATAGTCACCTTTAGTAATTTTGAAGCCAGCTTAAGAACATTGTTTGCAATCAACAAATCCTCTTTCTTATTTGGATTTTTTTCCATTTGAAGATACAAGTTTATCTGAAAAAAGAAAAGAAAAAAAACTACCTAAAACATATATTTCCTCAATTAATAAAACGCACTATTCCTCTTTTCGTGACCCTTTTTTTTTCCTTTTTACCAAATAACTTCAAAATTTTTTTAGAGGAAAAAATTTCTTTTATTTTTATACTTGTATGTAGTTCAACTTTTTTTCATATTTAGAATCTTCTGAGCTTCAAAACTTTACCTCGAGCGTATCAGGGGCGCTCAGCGTAGGGAATCAAACGCAATAATCTGGAAAAGATCAACAACAACTTAAAAATAAAGATAAAGACTATATTTCATCACAAAGAATTAGTGCCCAATACCTGCTCCGTGAGAAGTATAGACGTGTTCTTATATTTTCGGTTGATATCTGAACCCAATGCAATAAAGCGAATCAAAAATACACCAAGTACAAGACTCCTTAAAAATATATATATATATTTATATATAATATATATATAGAATATATAATATTCATAGAACATATTTCAGAATATAAGAAGTAAATTAAAAAAACAACAACTGAGATTTACCATGCAGTGAGCTCCCAGCTGAAAAAATAACTCAAAAAACTATCTTCTTTAACATTGATGGATAAAAACTAAAGGTAATAAATTGATAAAATAAAATATTAAAACAATTTTTTTTTTAGTTTATAACATATATTAAAACCCCTACAAACCCCAGTCAAAACAACTTGCAAGACTCAAAAATATCATTAAAAATCCCTACCTGAATGCAAGTCAAAACAACAAGCAACATTGCAGATAAAAAAGATGTAGATACTATAGTGTCAACTGATCTTTGAGGTCCACGTTTCTGATAGTAAAAATGTTTCATTAAAACAGTGAAAAAAATAATAACTAAAAGAAAAATAAGAAATAAAATAGAAGAAAGAACAAAGCTAAATAGAAGCTACACACCTTTAAAAAAGATCTTAAAGAAAGCCATGCCTTGATATTATTTACTTTATACAACCTAAAGTGTGGTAAACGATTTCTACGAGACCTTCTAGTAGATGTGATCATTCCAAATAATTTGGCATAAATGTAACGCTAAAAAAAATTTTACATGTTGACTCTAATGCTGCACACAAAAATAAAAAGATAAAAAAAGATATTTGTTGCAAAATGATTGTATAAATGGCTTATGAAATCATTGATACTTTTTTCTGGTTAATATATGAGCTCTTGTGGATCTTGTCTCTTGTTAATATATATATATATATATATATATATATATATATATATATATATATATATATATTTTTATATATATATATATATATATATATATATATATATATATTTTTATATATATATATATATATATATATATATATATATATATATATATATATATATATATATATATATATATATATATATAGTTTCGCACTTTCAAGGCTGTAGCAATTAATTCATCGATCTATATTGATGAATGTTTAAAAAAATGACTTCTTCCAATCATTCACAAGTAATTCCAATCACAAGTATCATGGAGACTTTAACTATTATTTATTTTGGCCAGATTTTCAAATTCTCAAGTTTCTCAAATTTCAAGACAAGTTCTCATTATTTTAAAGATTGTGACCTGAGTGCTTATTTATTTCAACTCCATTTTAAAATGTTAAAAGAACTTTTCCGCGTTAATATCTAAAAATAAAAACAAAAACTTTTCATATTTTTACTTTTTTCACTTTTTTTCTTATAAATAATTAGTAAATTTAATAGCAAATAACATTTTCAATAGTTATTAATAAAATTTAAAATTTATTGCATATATATTTGTTACCTTTATAACATCACTTAATATTTTCACCCAACATTTTAAAATGGAGATAAAATAAATAAGCACTCGGGTTGCGAGATTCACTAAATTGGATGTCTATTACGTTGATAAAGAATCCAATCCCCCAAATGTGCCTCAAGCACGACCAATTAAAAACCTTTGGGGACAATTCGCACTATCCAATAAAATGGACTTAATGTAATCTTCATCATCACACATAATTTTATTGCCAACCTGATGTTGCGATACTACCGTTGGGATGACAATCTGATGTTGTGATATTACTGTTGGGATGACTAAATTCAAAACTTCTAATGTGAGAGTTGATGACAGGATCAGTAGTTGAGTGGATATTTATTTCTAGAAATACATGAGTTTTTCTGGTATGATTTTTGCAGAATCAAAGAAAATCTTTATCGCAGGCTTCTTCTGATAGTTGCCTCATTAGACAATTGCATGTTTTTATAACCTTTTTATTAGTTTGTGTACAGTAACAGGCATATAATACTACTGATATAGATTAAGATAAAGAGGTTTGTTAAAATTCGTAATAAATAATATCTTAGCTTAAGGATAGTTTTTTAACAAAATATTGAAACTTTTAATGAGATAGACATTTATTTCAACAACGGGTGTTTAAGAGACCTAATTCCCAGACATGGAGCTAAATCCAAAAAATATATGTTCATATTAAAGAGAAATATTGAAAAAAATGATTTGGCTAAATTTTTTTGATTACAACAAAAATAAACGCATACCAAGAAAAACTAACTTTTTTTATTTTAGTCAAAGCTTGCCTCCGCCGTTTTGTTTTAGGCCAAAAATTTAGCATAATATGTCGCAATCTACAGACTTGATAACTTATTCAAGCGTGTTTTATTCCTAAGAGTTTTTTGATTTTTTTGTTTGTGTAAAAAATGGATTATGTAAACAAACAATCATGTAATTATGGATTTCAATTGATATTAAAAATGGATTTCAATTGATCGATTAATTCCTAAGAGTTTCAGTACATGGCGTCATTGGTTTTTTACATAATCCATAATTATTATATATTAATTTTACATAATTACATGATTGTTTGTTTACATAATCCATTTTTTACACAAACAAAAAAATCAAAAAATTCTTAGGAATAAAACGCGCTTGAATAATTTATCAAGTCTGTAGATTGCGACATATTATGCTAACTTTTTGGCCTAAAACAAAACGGCGGAGGCAAGCTTTGACTAAAATAAAAAAAGTTAGTTTTTCTTGGTATGCGTTTATTTTTGTTGTAATCAAAAAAATTTAGCCAAATCATTTTTTTTAATATTTCTATTTAATATGAGCACAATGTCTCTGAGGTTTGAAAACTCTTTAAGTTCAGAAAAATATGCACGGAAATTTTAAAATCCACCAATAAAAAATGGTTTTATAATGAAATTTTATTATAATTTATTATAACAAAATTTATATAATTTATAATATAATTTATTACATTTATATCATTATTTCAAGATCAATATGAATATTTTTATTTAACGATAACTGATGAGTTTTTTCATAAAAACAGTTTAGGGTTTTTAAAAAACTTAAAATTTAAAGACCAGAATCATTTTTGGATATTGCAATTTGCGATCACTTAATTCGAGCACAAATCAGATACAAATTTTTCACATGTTATAAAGTATTTTTCTAACAAACAATACTTACTACTTTATATGCTGACTCAGCAACACAAAGTAAAAAGAATGTAGAAAATGATAAAGTAAGTCTTGAGAGCATAGCAATAAATACAATTAGTTGAGGCCTATGAAAATAAAAACAAATTTAATGAAAAAAAATAAATTCATTTTTTTTTCTAAAAATATAATAAACTAATAAATATCAAAGTTTTGTGTCATACCTCCAAGTTGGTCCAAATAGCTGCTTACAAATAGTGACTATCCCATCAATAGTTTTCAGTGAAACAAGTAACTATTTGAGAAAATGTTTGTTAAAAAAACAAAAAAAAACAAACAAACAATTTCTTTGCAAACGTAAAAAACAAACAAAAATAAAGTCATACCCGAGACAAAGTATCAAGCAGTTGGCGATCTTTATTTGCCTATAAATTTTAGTTCAAAAAAAGATTTTATTAGTATTTTGATAAGTAGAGTAAAATTATATTATAAATAAATTATTTTAAACTATTAATTAAAATTGTATATAAAATTAAGAATAGACTTAAATACAAACTACAATACAACAACTATAACACTAACTTTATACAACTATAATAATAAAATAACTATAAAATATCAATACATAGCATTTATTTAAATAACAAATTAAATACTCACAACATGAAATTGATAAATTCTAAAAAATAATGGTAGCATTCCAATGATGCATGATGATATAATAGCAAAAGTTAAATAATCGGAACGCTTATCTTTTCGAGATTCCTGCAAAAATTTTTAATTTAAAGTTTAAAATGCAAAACACTAAGAAAAATTTACAAAAAAGATTCAAAACAAAACCTAACTAGTACAGTTGGCCAGAATTCATTTTTACTGTGCAAAATTAACAACTACTTTAATATTAAGGCTATATTCACTAAATTTGTAATGTCCATTTTTCTAATGAAAGTGTTATTTTTTTAATTTGATGCTATGAATACCTAATTTTGCATAGCAACTATCTATTTTTGGTAGTTGCAGATTTTTTATGAGTGTTATATGCACTAAATTTACCATGAGCACCAATATAAAGTTGCACTTCTTATAAAAGTGATAAATTTTTTATTTAGTTGCTAAGGATAACTATATTGCTTAGCAATCATATACTTTCTTTAGTTAAATAAGTTGAATAACAATTCAGGTATTATATAAAGATTTAGGTAATGTTATAGCAAAAATAAAAAAAGTGAATTGACAATTTGAACATCTTAGTTTAAAACAACTTTAATTTCTAAAATTTTAAAACTATTTTCAAAATTATTTATTGGTTTGAAATAATTGCTACAGATAACATAGTTTGAACCTTCCCATTAGACAAATATATGGTGACTATTTGGTATTCGACTACACTTTTTATTATTTGCTATTCAGCCAATGTTGCAAACTATTTGGCAGAATGCAAATACCAGATCGTGACAAAAAAAAAAAGGCATAAAAGAGGATTAAATATAAAAAAAAAAAAAAAATTATATTTTTTACTTTAACAAATAATTAGAATGTATTTGATACATATATTTGAAATATAAAACTATCAATATTAACATATTATATATACAAATAATTATCTAAAAATATGTATATATTTAATCTATAGGTGGTAAGTTATGATAAAAAGATTTTTATTGTTTGATGATAGTAAATGATTGTGATTTTCCTTATAAACTCCCTCCAAAAATTCACTTTGTACACTGCCACCAGCAAATAATAAGGAAATTTTAACAAGTTCTGTTAGGAATATATGCTTCAGCATTATGTTTCTGTGTTTGCTGACCACAACTTGTAAAGGTTTGCTGTCCAATTTAAGTGAGCCGTTCCATGTTAAAACCAATTTCATTTGCAATTTTCTTTTCCACATCTTCATGAGTGCATATTTTCTGTAAAGATTGGTTTGATCATTTTTATTTCTTTTCTTACTATTAGACACCGCTGATGGTTCATCAGTGTCAAGCAGCCTTTCATCAAAAAGGATTTCACTGACTGAATTGTGACAACTTTTCACTGACTGAATTGTGACAACTTTCACTGACTGAATTGTGATTTGTGTCGCACATCACAATTTTTTTCTTAGTGCATTAAATATTTTTTTTGCTTTGCTTATTTGTATTTTAATTAACTAATTCCAAAAAATTAGCTTTGAAATATGCATCAATAAAAAAGGCAATAATATGATTGTCATTACCATTAAAGTTTAAGTTCAGGTTGCAGTGAATCATTTTTAATAAGTTTATAGTTTTTTGTGTTATATCTATTTAAAGCAACTTCTGAAATTACCTTAGAAATGCAAAATATACCAGAGGTTATTTTTGTAATCTTTTTGAGTGGTTTGAAGAGTATGATTTTATACATAGCTATAGTTAAAATAAATTGATGTAATAGTCAATAAATACGTGTGTTGTGACTAAGTTGTGTCACAGCATGCATTATTTTATTATTTGACATTAAATTATCATTTGCAGCCCACAGCATTAACATATGCACAATGAAGCAAGTCAGAACCCTCAAAAATAACCAAGTGTCACTAAATATTTGGCAGCTGAATATTTTGTGCTTTGGCCAAGCGCCTAGCCAAAAACTTGCTATTTTGCAAAACCGTTATTCGTGGCATAGCTACTTCCAATTATTCATTTTTAGTTCAATAGTATGACTTCAGTGGAACCCAAATCTCTAATAAAATCACTTCAGATTATGACTCACTTCAGTGTAAGACCCACAAACCTCTAATAAAATCATTTTTAGTTCAATAATATGATTCACTTCAGTGTAAGACCCACAAACCTCTAATAAAATCATTTTTAGTTCAATAATATGATTCACTTCAGTGTAAGACCCACAAACCTCTAATAAAATCATTTTTATTTCAATAATATGATTCACTTCAGTGGAAGACCCACAAACCTCTAATAAAATCATTTTTAGTTCAATAATATGATTCACTTGAGTGGAAGACCTCTAATAAAATCATACCGAAGCTTTCTATCTTACAATTAATGTAGTGGTCTGAGCTTGGACTACTAATTCTTGGTAGTTGTTTGTAATTAAATTGCTAACAACTATTAAAAATATTTTGTCACTATGCAAAGTAAGGCAATAGCAACCAAACAAAAATATTGCCTTAATAAGAAGTGCAAATCTTATTTTAATAGAGTAATCTTATATTATAATAAGAAAACTTTGATGTAAGATTGAATATTATAAACAATGATTGATTATAAACTAAATTATATATTTTAAATGGTAATTCCGGTATGCACCGGAATCACCATTTAAAATATATAATTTAGTTTATAGGACTTTAGTTTATATAATTTATTACCGGAAATCTGTGTATAGTATATAATAAACAAATATAGTATACAATTTAGTTTATAGTATTTAATTTATATATTTATAAGTACATTATAAACAAGGGTTGTCTATATTGGATCTATTTAATTTGGTATTGTAAGGGTATACTTTGTATACCCTTTTTTTAATTGTAAGGGTATACTTTGTATACCCTTACAATTTCACCTCTGCCAAGAGATTAGCCAGAGACTATCAAGAGAATGCCATTATAGTTTATTATTTTATCAATTAACATCGCATATGGAAGAACTATAGGTACACTAGTGAGAAAATAAAAAGTTTTATAATTTTGCAATATAATTTTGTTTGCAATAATCAATTATGCAAACAATGAAGTTAAATCTAAACTATTTATATATGTTAAACAAAATTTTAAATATTTTTGAAATTTGACAATTTTCCTATCAATTCTAGAAAATCTGTTTCCAGCCAGAATTTAAAAAACTAAATTTAATACACACACCCAATATAGTGTACGTATCACAAACAAAAAACCATTAAGTACTAAAAATAGGTTGTTGCTATGCAAAGTTAGGTACCATAGCAGCCAAATTGAAACATATAAGATCAGAATGGAAACTAACGGGGAGAAGCATTCAATGTCAATAGACAGCATCAATGTGTGTATTCACTGTGTAGTGTAGCAAAATATTCTTTTCTTCAAGTTTTTTTTTTAAATTTGTGATCAAAGTATTACTGAGATAACATGCTTAATCCTCTGAATACTTTTATCTCTAAATACTAAAAAATATTTCACATTTTGTCAACTTTTTGCCCACTGTAAAGTAAGTAGAAATTTTTCTAAAATATTTTAAATATTCACTACTGAAGTAAAGTAATAAACTTACAACTTTTTTTACCACAGCCATTCCTATTTCAAAAAAATTCATTTTGGCTTTTTTAAAAGAATTACCATCCCAAATAGAGACTGTAACTAAAAAACAATACATAAAAATTATTTTTAGTTTTCTTATAATAATTACCATCCCAAAAAGAGACTGTAACTAAAAAAAATACAAAAAAATTCATCTTGGCTTTCTTATAAAAATTACCATACCAAATACAGACCGTAACTAAAAATACAAACTGGAAAAAAGACTGAAAAACATAAAACTAAAGTTAATTTTGGCCAATTTGAATAATTCAAAAAAGGATTCAAGTGTTGAGTAAAATGAATTTAAAAACATTAAAAAAAAAAAAATCTTACTAAGATCATTGATATGTCTAATATTAAATAGTGTGTTGCTATTTGCTGCATCATAAACACTGTTTGAAAACAGTAAGTTATGTTTTTCAACATTTGCTTGAGTACTTGAGTCTTTAGCCTCATTTTCACTAATTGACTCTGATGAATTAGTACTGTCAGAATCAGTTTCTGATTGATTAGAAGTGGTTTCATCAACACTATGAACTTCTCTTTTTCGCTCACAAGATTCCTCTATATTTGTTTCATTGACTAAAAAAAAAACAGAAATTATAATTCTTATCCTACTTTAAAAAGATCAAACTTTTAGGAATTAACTGCAATATTGTTCCAAAAACTTTTATACAATTTCAAATATTTAAAGAACAATAAAAATATTAGATCAAAATAGTAATATAGTATAGGATAGATCATATACAATGGAATAGATCATATACCACATATAGTGGGTTGTCAAAACTATTTTACTTTAAGTTTAAGTTTACTTCTTTTGTCATTTTGAATATTAAATGAATTTTGCAGGGAAATTGTTTTTATATAATTTTTCGAGTGCATTTCTTTTCGTTGTATCTAGAGCAACGCTTTAATCTTTTATCGTAAAGTCGGTAGTAAATTTTGATTGGTCTATTTCAAGTCACGGCTGCGAATATTATTGATTGATTTTAAAAGTTTCATTTGTACAAATTTAAAAAGAATTGCATATCTACATAGTACATTTAGCATTGTGGTGTCTCATTGGTTCATCATCCACAGTGATCCGGGAACAAGTTCTTTACTTAGTAAAGTTTTTTTTAATGTTTTTAACTATTTTTTATTGAAAGTCATTATTATCGTTGTATATTGAAAGTTACATTGATTTTTATTATTTACATGCATCGTCTGATATAGGGATAGGCACAGTGAGCATACATCTACTGATATAGAAATAGACACAAGAGAGTGCATATACCTCAACTGATTTAGGGATAAGCGCAATGAGTGTACATACATCTACTGATTTAGGGAAAGGCGAAGTGGAGCGCACATACGCTGACTGATTTAGGGATAGGCGCAGTGAGTGTACATACATTGACTGATTTAGGGATAGGCACAGGGGAGTGCACATAAATCAATTTAGGGTTTTGGTTCGGGCATGCATTCTTTAAATAAAAGAAAAAAAATCAACCAATCAGAAATCACTACCATGACTTTAAGAAAAAATTTAAACCGATGGTACGATTGCAATTTCTTTTTACTGATATCATTATTATTGTTTTTAAAATGAGGTAACACTGTCTGCCTTATCCGTCAAAAAGTTAGGTTATTTCTCATTTAGTTGGTGAAAAGTGTTGGTAGAGTGAGTTCAGTTATTCATTTTTTGGAACAATACTTTGCAAGTTTTTTGACTTCAGAACTGTCAAATTGTATTAGCTAAAAATTGCTCAATTAAAATGCATAAATCTTAATTCATAACTATTCTAAGCTCTAACAATTTTTTATTTATTAAAATAAACTATTGAAATAAACACTTCAATTAAAAAAAAAACTTACCAGAATTTTTAGAAAATCTTTTCCTTAAACCCAAATTTAAATTTATATCTGTTTCAGATTGTGCTAAAATTTGAAAATTCTCTGTACTAACTTGATCAACATTTTGATCATGAACAAGAATTCGTTCAGTGCTAGCATCACGACTTTCTGAGATCTCATCTAATCTTTTTGGACGCTTTCTACAACTTCTTTTACGCTTTTTTGGTTCAGTACTAATTTCACCACTTTGGGTATAATTATAAAAATTTGTATAAGTACAATAAAATATAAAAATTTGAAGATTGAAAAACAAAAAATATTTTTAGTAGTAATTTTATATATATTTAAGAGTATAATTATATATATATATATATATATATATATATATATATATATATATATATATATATATATATATATATATATATATATATATATATATATATATATATCAGGGTTCCCACTATTAAAACTAAGGCTAAAATTGAGGATTTTAAGGAGATTTAAGGAGATATTTTCCTAATATTTAAGGAGATTTGGTCGCCAACGACATTTTTTTGAAAGAAAAAGTAAGGATAATTAAGGAGAAAACAATTACATTAAAAACATAATCTTATTTTTTTCAATAAATTTTAAATATAAACAGAGAAATTATTATTACTTTAATAACAAAAATAGATTTGAAAACTATCAAAAATCTATATATTATCTTCTTTATTAACAAGTATAATCCATTCACTTAAACTTTTTTTTTTAAATAAATAAAAAAAAGGATATTTAAGGTTTTTAAGGAGGTGTGGGAACCCTGTATATATATATATATATATATATATATATATATATATATATATATATATATATATATATATATATATATATATATATATATATATCTGTGTGTGTGTTTTATTAGCTCTATTAATTATTAGTATTTTATATATATTTATTAATATATAACTTTATATATATTTATTAGTATTTTTAGTTGTATAGAAAACTAATAAAACTCAAATATTTAAAATATAAAATTCAAACATTTAAAATTAACTCAACTACCTTCGTTGCTTTTTAATATTTCGACCAGCAGGTTTTGTGAAGTTTGTAGATACAACATGAATATATAATTCACCTAATAAAACCATTGCCTAAAATAAAATAAAAATTAATAAATATAAATATATTTTTATTATTTGATATACCTTGTATATATTTTAAATGAATATAGATACATCAATAATACAATGAGTAATTTTTCATTTTCACTATTGTAAACCAATTATTATGTGACAAATAAGTCAAAAAGGTGTTACTCAGTGTCATCAAAAAATTTGTTTAACTTATATTAATTTAAAAAAAATTCTCAAAATTAAATTTTTAATCTTAATTTTTAAAACCTAATCCACAAGTGATTTTAAATCGTCACATACCAAAAGTGGAACAAACGCTTCTGGCCATGAAATATTCTAAAAAAGATCATAGAATTTAAACAACAAAAAATTCTTTATTTTTATCAAAATTTATAACAATAAATACAATATAAATAAATACAAAAGTATATAAAAATAATACCATAGTTACTATGGTACTATGGTATGGCGAGTCTTCTGCTTTAAATTTTCTAGATTTAGATTTATTTTAGATCATTGGCTACTGACCTCTAATGAAAATGATATATACATTCCATGTCAAAATTAGCATCTTCTAAGGTAAATTGGTGCTGCTGCAGCACTATGGGCACCCAAAAAAAGCACCCAAGTAATGTTTATCATTTATATTTTTTTATTTTGCTTTTTCATTAAAAGAAAAAAAAAGTTTCGATTACAAATGCAGTAGCAAATAACTAACTTTCTGTTTATTTTAGCTACTTCTTTTATCTTCAGGACAATAAAATGAGTTAAATATTTATGTGCCGCAACTCATTAGTTTTAGAACTGTTGTTTGGTTACTTAACCAATTGTTAAATTAAAAAACTAAATGTTACTTTTAATTTAAAAAATTTTAATAAATTGTTTATTTGAAAGATAGAAAAATATCAAAATATTTATAATAAATATTTTATGAATAAAAAATTTATTCAGATCAATTTTAACTTTTACTTTTTGATAATTAAGAGCTAACTGTTTTTAATGAAAAATAAATAAAAGTAAAAGGATCTTAATAACAATGTAGTAATCGTGCAATATTAATTTTTGAATGAACTTTTGATCTTTAAAATAAAAAAAACAAAAACTTTTTCAGAAAGTTTTGTTTTTCTCTTCATATTCTTTTTGACTTTAATAAAAATAACAACAAAAAAAAGTTTACTAAAACTTAATAAAAGTCTTATCAGCTTTTATTTATTTTTAAAAGTTTTATCAGCTTTTATTTATTTTTAAAAGTTTTATCAGCTTTTATTTATTTTTAAACTTTTATTTATTTTTAATCAGCTTTTATTTATTTTTAAACTTTTATGTTTTTAATATTTAAAGAGAAATTTAAAATAAACTTATTTAATGTAACCAATATTTAAAAATATTTTAAATGAAGACAATAACTATTCTAATACAAAACATAAATGTTTAATGAGCCTAATTACTTTATTTTAATTTTGCACATACTATGTTATTTGTAAATCTTAAAATTGTTTAAAGTATTGAAAATTTATTAAACTATCAAATTAAAATTACTAAAATATTGTTGCTAAATATTTAAAATACTTTAAATAATTTTCAACAAGTTTTATAAACAGTGTTTACAACTTATTATGTTTACAACTTGAACATTTATCAAAATCTTAAATAAAATAATTTTTCTTAACATAACTGAGCATATGCCAAATATTGGCTTATGCCAAATGTTTAATATATATATATATATATATATATATATATATATATATATATATATATATATATATATATATATATATATATATATATATATATATATATATATATATACACATACATACATATATGTTTGTAGCGATGTTGTTTTGAAGTGCATATACTATGAAGAAAGTGCTTGATGAACTTAGTCAGAGCTAATACATATGTAGAAAGTAAAACTATGTGATTTCACAACTTTCATTTTCATGCTATTGCAATCATCAGGTGAAATACAAATACAATTTTTTCGTTAAAAAAATTATATAAAAAAGGAACTAGTTACATAAAAATTTCAAAAAACAGCCGTTTAAAACTTATTTTTCAAACTTATTTTAAGTTCCTGAAGTTTTTAATATCCCTTCTATTTTTTGATGCATTTCCTTCAATTAAAACTTGGGATTACTTATTTAAATCATTTTTTTTTAAAACCTCAATTAAGTGTCGTTTAAACAAGCAATATATAATAAATGTTATAAATGCATTATAAAAGCAACAACATCATTATAGTATTATTACTTTTTTAACACAGTGACTATAGTGTTATATTTCTTTTTTAGTCAAAAATTTTTTGATTTGCTTTGTTTTTTAGAATTTTTTTTGCAAACAAACTTAAGTTATTGGATCCATGAAAACAAATTACACTTAATTAAAACTTTGAAGACCAGATATTTATCTAGATATCGCAAATCACAATTGCATAAATTCAACCCTTGTTTCTGGTAAAGCATTAAAACTAAATCCATCGATAGTTTTAAAAGAACTTCTCTAATTCTACTTCTTCAGAAAAAAATTTTGGATGCTGCTTTTGTTGAAGAAATTTTTGCATCTTTTTTCGAATTTTATTTCATCTTTTTAATCAATTTCATCTTTTTACCACAATCCTGTTGTAAATCTTGTGTAAACTGAGATATGTTTCCATATATTTCACACACATTTTCAGATCTTTTAATTATCTTTCTAGATATCTGATATTTTTTCAGAGTAACCCAAAAATGTAAACTTCTATAATGTTTTAATTCTTCTATTTATTTCAACAAAATATAGTTAAAAAAACGAAAACAAGAAAATCCTTTTTTGTGTGTTAATTTTATTTACCACCATATTGCTACCATATTGGTATTATTTTGGTTTTGGTTAATATTATTTATGTTATTGGTTAATATTATGTTATAGTTAGTTATAATATAATATAGTATAGTTATAATATAATATTAAAGTTATGTTATTGGTTAATATTATTTACCACCATATTGGTACCACCATATTTACCAACAAATTTACCACCATATTGGTAAAAAATGAATCAGTAAATTGTTAAAAAAGTTCAACCTTACTTACAATCATGTAGTAATACAAATACATTCGTTATTAACAACTGCAGACACATGGCTACTGTAACCAGTGCCAGTTATAACTACAGGGTTACTGTAACTAATGTTATTTGCAACTGTTGATTTTATGTTATATTTCTGGTTAGTGTTAATGTTTAGAAACCTTTTGTTTTTCAACTTTGTTGTTAAACTGTAGACTTTTGTAACAAGTGCCAGTCATAACTACAGGGTTACGTAACTAATGTCACATCTGTAACTAAGGTTAATGTAATGCTACATCACTACAGAGTTACTGTAACTAATGTCACATCTGTACTGTTGATTTTGTTATGCCAGTTTTAGTTCCCACTTACACATGATATTAAAATAAAAATTAAAATAAGAAAAAAAGTGCTTACAATAAATTCTTCTTCTGTTTGATGAGTAACATATATTACTAATGACAATAGCTGCAAAAAGTAAAGTGTTAAAAAAAACAACCAAACTTTAAAAGAGGTTTGCTGTTGCCACCTAAAAACAAAATTTAATATTGCTAAACTCTTTAAATAAATACAAGATTTGAAAATAAAATCGAAAATAGTTTTATTTATACAGAAAAAAAAAGTGATTTACCATTTCTTATGCAAAAGTACTGGATAAGAAACTGATAAGAAAAGATAAGCCATCACTTAATGTGTATCCTTAGTGAACAAAGGTGACTTGATTTTCACCAAGGCCATAGCAAGGGTTCATAAAACTTTGGTTGCATTTGAAGCAAGAACTAATTTAATGTTGATAAACCATAATCTTTCCCTGACCCCAGTGAAAAAAAATAAACAAAAATTTAGTTTATTTTCCTTAGCCCCACCTATTCTTATCACAGTATTCTTATCATTATTGACATAGTAATCGACATAGTACTTTAATTAGCAGTAATTGATTGTCTCAATTGATTATTACTTCAAATTTAATATGTATCAAACTTTTAAGAACTAAAAAACTAAATATGACATTTATTACAAAAAAATTTCATTTTTGTAATTATCTTTTTTGTCTGAAAAAGTTTCTGGATTTATTGGCATTTTAAAAATATAACTCAACCAAATATTTTAATTGGGTGCCAACCAAAAACAGCAGTAGTATAAACACACACACAAATACAGACATATACAATATATACACACATAAAGTAATATATACATATATGCACATTAGAATACATTTAAAATAATTTGTATGTGTGTGTATACACTTGGGAGTTTTAGTTGCCCTTATTCATTCTGACTTAACTGGGAAAGCGCCATTCATGATAAATAGTAAAAATTTGTTATTTCAACCAAATTGAGCAATATTTAGTTGATTAGTAGTTGGTAGCAATATTTTCCTCACTGAAACTGACAAAGATATAGAGGGAATCAGTCTAACGACTGCTTGTCAAGAATATTTGTGTTATTTTGAAATGAAATGCTGCAAACAACTCAGTTATTATTCAGTTAAACCATTTTATAATCAAGCAAGAAGTCAAAAAAAAAAAAAAAAAAAAAAAAAAAAAAAAAAATGCCAGAAAAAAATCATAAGATTATTTGATAAGATGTAAGGTCATAAAAAGGTTGACCATGCTCATAAAAACTGGAAAAAAAAACTCAAAAATTGAGCAGGTTTAATGATAAGCAAAAAAAAAAAAAAATTATGGGCCATGTGATGTGCTAATATTATATTGTAATAAAATACAAAATAAAATATACAAAACATATTGAAAAATATTCTACAAAAATATTTTAAATTTCTATTTTTAATCTATTAATTTTAGTTTCAGTGTTATATAAAATTTTATTTTGGAACAAAATCTCATAAATGTTTCTTGCATTTTTTTACTTTATTAAAATTGTTTAGATACAAAATGGAATATGTGGAGACAATTACAACCAAGCTCCTGCAAACTTCCAAATATTGGTTTTGTTAATTGGTCTAGCAATTTAATACACTCACTTGACAACAAAAATGTTAAGAAAGCAATTCTTTTTGGCTTCTAGAAAATTAAACTAATATTCAATTTGAAATTAGTCAGGTTAAATAAAATTTGAAAAAATATTTTTTCAGGATGTTCTGGTGTAAAATTACTGGGTGTGCCAATACAATTCAACCAAAAAGGCAAGATTGTTGTTGAAGCAATATATGAACAACATAAAGATTGGAAATGTACATATTATGTGGCAGACATGTTTTTTCACACAACAACATTAAACTATGGCTTTAACTGCAGGCTGTGTTACAAAATGCATTTAGTACACATCACATAGGAGAGGTCACAAATGGAAAAGTTTGAACCAACTCAATTGATTTAGTTCAAACTTAAGTATATAAAGGCAGTAATTGATTTTGAGTTAATAACTCA